GCTGAAGTAGGGGGACTGGGTTGCCAAGGAAGGGAGGGGAAACAGGGTCGGTCTTACTCACATGGCCCAACCGGAGGAGGCGCTGATCGAATGGTACAGCGTAGAAGGGAATGGAAGATTGGTAGGGAGCAGTGATCCCTTCCAATGGGTCCAGAAGGACGAGCTACATAGAATCCGAGTGCTTGAGGACGGTGAGCAAAGGCGGGCGTTCTTTGCAGAGATAGTCGTAGAGGCCCTCCCCATCGATCCCTTGGAATGGGTGTGGAACCCCGATCCACGATTCAATCCAAAACAATCTAAACTTAAAACCTTTTTCTTTTTGTTCAGGACTAGGCCTAGTGCCACCCCACTTCTTTTTTCTAGTGCCCATATGGATACCCTGACCCGAACCTCCGAAGTTTTAGGAGAGGCCCAACCGGATTCTCAACTTGGATGGGGCCATGAACTGGTGATTTAAGTCTAGGAAGCTTGTTTTTTGTTCAGGACTGGGCCTAGTGCCACCCCACTTTTTTTTCTACTACCCCTTTGGACACTCTGTCCCAAGCCTCCGGAATTTTAGAAGAGGCTCTCAATCGGATTCTCAACTTGGCTGGGGCCATTTACTGGTGGTTTAAGACCCTTCAGAATATCGTTTCGTTTGCCTTCTTTTATTAGTATGCTCCCCATACCATTGATATTCCAGCTCCGAATCTGAATTCCTTGTGACTTCCAGTTCACTCCGTGACTGTGAGCGCTGGATGCATCTCTGACCGCGTCTATCCTATAAACTGGAATGGCCTGTTAGTGCATGAGAAGCGGGGATCTACAGGGAAGGGGTCAACGGAGATTCAACAGATTCCAACGTGTTCCCTGGCGGGTTCCGCATCACAGGGCCTTTGGGAGACCTTGTATTGCCCAAAAGAAGGGCCTCACCACACCTATCCCGAAAACAGGAAAATGTTCGAGAGTGCTCTCGAACTCTGGAAATCGCGAAAACCGGTTTGAGAGGCCTCGTCGCCGCACTGCGCTCTCAAAGGGCGCACTCTCCACTGTGTCGGAAAAGACCTGCGTTTTTCGAGAGTGCAGTGTGGCGGTGCAAGGGCCTTGCTCCACTACTCACTGAATGTGCAAAATGAGAATGAATTTTCTCCTAGACCATGGAAAGATACATCGCCATATTTTTTGTCTTTTGTGCATGTAGTGAGTAGTGGACAGAGGCCTCGGTTCGAGAGTCTCTCGAACCAACTCGACAAAACGCTGACCGCAGATGGTTGTCCGTCGCGGCACACTCTCGAAATTCAGGCCACAATCGGAGGTGTAGCGGACCACTCTCGAAAGTGGCAACTTTGCAGGTGGGGCAACGACCACAGTTCGCGAGCACTCCTGAAAACCGAGTTCTGGCCACTCTCGAATTTTTTTCTGACACCGATTTGGAGAGTTGGTGTGGCTATGCATTTGCTCTCCAAATCGGTGTTTTCGGGATAGGTGTGGCGAGGCCCGAAACGGGCTCAATGTGCAACATGTTTTCTCTTTTCTTCATTTCTTTCCGCAAATGCGCTCTTTCAGCTCACAGGTATGTGACAATGTATTTGAAATTAGCATAGTATCGACTATGTCTCCCTTGCATTCACTGAAATCAAGATGATTCAATATGTTTCTTTTGTATTCATTGAATGTTCAATCAAATCAACATGTTTTCATTGTATTCATATCTGATCCGGGGGGGGGGAGGAATGAAAATAAAAATAAAAAATTCGCACTATGTTTCTCAATCAAATAATTCATACATATATGGATCGTCGAGCTGCCCGGTGAAACGGAGGCAGAAAGGGAGAAAAGGACAAGAATCAGAGGGGCTGTGACAGAGTGTAAGTCATAATCCATCTTCCCCCTGTGGCAGAGTGTAAGTCATAATCCATCTTCCCCCAAATGCGTTTCATCATCAACAACTGCCCCACAGCCGATACCCTGAGGAGGGTATTAACCAATGCCCTCAAGGGCGCCTGTGATGACAATCAAAGCAGACTATCAGTCACCCGCATCAGACGAAAGACTCTACAGATTGCAGGTCCACACCCGATCATAAGTCATCTAAAACCCCACGAGAGAAAGAAAGGGGCCCCGCCCAGCCAGAAAACACACTCCACACACACCGCTGGCAGTAGGGACACAGGATGGCCGCAAAGTGACAGCCCCGACCAAAACCGGCAGCAGTGAGCTAGCTCAAGTCGTAGATGGCAGTACACACACACACACACACACACACACACACACACACACACTCCCGTTCAGGTCACACACACACACACACACACACACACACACACACACACACACACACACACACACACACACACACACACACACACACACNCACACACACACACACACACACACACACACACACACACACACACACACACACACACACACACACACACACACACACACACTCCCCTTCAGGTCCTATTCTAAACGTGATCAGCACATTAGACCAGAACCTGAGACAATTTGACACGAAAGAGAGAAACGAATCAGACAACATCAACATTCTCCGGGTGAAATTACATAAGAACCGGTTACTTTCACCTCTCACAAAGGAAAGAAACAAAATACAAGGGAGAAAAGAACATCAAGAAATCCCCGGTGGGGCAAGAATCAGAGTCATTCTCCCGACGCACACCACAGAACGTACTCCTACTTCCACTCAAGCATTTGACTCCCACAATGTCACAGGTCTCACGTTACTCATGAACAAACTCAATCCTTCTCCGGTAAAGGTCATATACGGGCGCGAATGTGCATTAATCGTCGTCCTGACGGCCACATTAGTCATAAGGCTGTCCTCGAGCGAATATCCTATCATCTCCTCCTCCCTTATATTTCTCCAACTCTGTTCTAAGTTACGACTCATACCAACAAACAGCGGAGCAATAAAAATTGGGAAAAGAAAAAAAAAAACAAAAAAAAAAACAAACAAACAAACAAAACAAACAAACAGCGGAGCCATCCGCCAGTGACATCATCCAGTTCTTTTCTCATTATAATCGTCCACGTTTTTCCGTAACTAGAAAAATTCCCCTATTGCCACTAGTACGACCTGTTCGATTCTGTCAATGGAATTTTCTCACGCAACAAGCGGAAATTGGGGAATTTTTGTTCCTACTTTATGTATTTATTTAGGCGAAAAAAATATAAAAAAGCCTACAACGAGATTTTCAATACTACCGATCCCGGAATATCCCATCCAGCCGTTAGTCGGTCCCATTCATAATTTTTATTTTCCTTTTCCATTTCTTTTCGCGCCTATTCCTGTATCATTTCTTTCTACTTGGATCATTTTGAGCGTGTCATCCTCACCACGACGCAGGGGTCACGACAATCTTCTGTATCGTTCCAATTTTAACGGATGACCCCCAGGAGTGCACATACAATATGTCCATTCGTGCTCGTAAGTCCATACATACATCATCGCCTTGAAACGGAAAATAAAAAAATAACAGTGGTAGGAATAGGTAGAGAACCAGCCCCCAAAAAACTCTCCGGCCAGGTTACCAACATCGAAAAAGCAACAAAAAAAAGAATCGCCAAAATTGTGGAATCAAAACTTCTGCAAGATCATCAGCAGGCGCTGATGAGTTTTCGTCTCCCACAACGCATCTCCCCCCGCCTCTCTCTCTCTCTCTCTCTCTCTCTCTCTCTCTCTCTCTCTCTCTCTCTCTCTCTC